TAAATGAACAATATGCAACATTAGAAGAAAAAAAATAATGAAAATCGACAGTGAGGAACCATTTGAATTAGGATTTCCCCGCCGACAAACATGCCCAATACGTGTGAACTCAAAATGAACTAAAAAGTAAGGGATTTAACTGCGTAAATTTCTTTCTGGTTTTGACAAATACTGGATCAGTCATACAAGATCAATAATTTACAAATTTACACAATAAAAATTACGAAAGTTCATAGTTGTTTGAACAAATTTCTCAGATCTCTATTTGTACGTTCATTGCCATCTTCGTCAAAGTCAAAACCCTCAAAGTCCATGTCGGCATCACTGTCGCCGTCATCGTCTAACAAAATTCCTACAGCTTTGACTTGAAGTTTGTTGTTATCGTCCCACACAATTGGGACTTAGCACTTTTAATTCATGTCTAATCAGAATAAAGAGAAAAAAAAAAAGGGGCCACGGCAAACGACTGCTGCAATGGCACACAATGCTTTTATTACAGTCTGTCAATCATCTTTGACCTTTAGGCATCTGCTTAACTGATTGGCTAAGAATGACATCACCACTAATGTTTCATCATAAAGATCAAGTCAACATTGCTTTCTTATCAGACTAGACGCTCATCAATCATGATGAAAGTTATCATTCAGCAAATTCCGGCAGTTGGAATGTCTCGCGATATAGATATCGTGGTGGGCTTGAAATACCGGTAGAAAGAATATTTATTTCTCCAAAGACAGAAAAATAGCAATCACTGTGATTACTTTAAGATTTGCTTGAATCGTTTCTAAGAAAGCACAATCCAAACGTCCTGTCCTTTTCGGAGCCACGACATATTTCAAACTACTGTTTCTGCTTTAATATACATTGTTGTAGGGCATGGGATAAATAATATTCTAGGATAGTATCAAGAAACACTAAGTACAATACTATGTGTGAAAAGAAGACAAGATTATAACTGGTAATTCAGTTGCTGATTTAACCAACATCAAATGTCACTTTCATCTAACTCATATACATATATACCATTATATATCAGCATTACCATATTTGCTTTATTAGTAGCACATATGCTTATGTAAATTACAGAGGTGTTTTTATGTTCAAAATAAGTCATATTTTAATGATTCAGTATATAATCTATATAATTTTTGGTTCAAATGTGCTTCTATTAGAACAAATATGGTATTAATAGAGTAAGCGCTTAATGACAGAGTTATGACTATGCAAGTTTTTTGATTTATGTATGCTTCTAATAAGGTAAATTATGGTATTAGTAGAACAAATATATGATGTATTGAAATGTTTTGAAATCTGTTTTTTCGGAACAATAAGGTCATTACAATTATGAAAATGTGTTTTTGAAGAAGAGTGTTTAAGATATTGTATACATTCTGTACAAACAAACAAGAACGATGTACATTGTCATATTTGCCATATAAAATTATGAATGAATGAATGACATGTTTTAATGATGCCAGATTACTCGTCAACTTTAAAACATAATCAGCCATTGTGAATCAGAACTGATGTGTGTGTGAAATAAGAACTTGATCAGTTCAAGCATGTATGGATGAAGTTTGAATGAAATCTGTTCATGTGTAATCTGGATATGGTTCCAGAATAACGGATGCATGTTTAGTACCACAATTTGGCCATCTTAAAAACAAATTGATTGATTGATTGTGGCATTTCCAAAATACAGGTGTAGAGACAGATGCATAGGAATGAATACTAGCATTAATTTCATAGTAGATTTTTATGCATTTTCAAAATACAAGTGTAGAGACAGATGCATAGGAATGAATATTAGCATTAATTTCATAGTAGATTTTTATGCATTTTCAAAATACAAGTGTAGAGACAGATGCATAGGAATGAATATTAGCATTAATTTCATAGTAGATTTTTATGCATTTTCAAAATACAAGTGTAGAGACAGATGCATAGGAATGAATATTAGCATTAATTTTATGGTAGATTTTTATGCATTTCCAAAATACAGGTGTAGAGACAGATGCATAGGAATGAATATTAGCATTAATTTCATAGTAGATTTTTATGCATTTTCAAAATAAAAATTTGTATAGATGTTGGAAGTTTGAATGTAATTCATTATATTTGTTTTTCTTCTTCATTTTTTTGACAGAACATTTGAAATTGTTACTGTTTTTTGCTAGTAACCCAGACCATCTTTAAAGAGAGCCATGCAACTTCAGTGCTATTTACAGAGAAAATGTGAGTAATAATGCAAAAAAGAAGAAGAAATACACTCCACAGAAAATAAAATAATGTTGATTAGCAGTGGGTCAAACAAAGTGGATGTAATAAAAGAAAAACAGCAGCAGCAGTGCAGCATATTTTTTTATTTCAATAAGTAGAACTTGCTCTTAGAAAAATTACAGAGGTGTGTCTATGTTCAAACTAAGTCATATTTTAATGATTCAGTATACCATATTAGAAGCACATCCATAAAATAAGCAAACATTACATGTAAGTGCAGTTACTGTACACAGGATCATTAAAATAGAAGTCATTTTCACCATAGACAAACCATTGTTATTTACATATGTGTGTAAAACATAATTTTGAGTTTATGTGCTAATCAACTCATGCCAACATTGAAGCAAAACAATTTGCTGCTTTGACATACTTCCCACACCACCCCACCCCACCACTCCCCTCCCCTCCCCCTCAACTATTGGGACACTGCTAAGCGAGTGCATAATAGATAGGATTATTGATGTTATTTTCTCAACACATTTAAACCCATCTTACTTTTGATCGCCTCTTCTCTCCACTTCCTCAATGGCTTTGCTTTTCTTTTGTGAACTGCAATTATTGAAAACGTGACAGCTGCGCATTCTCATTTTTAAACAACATCCATCGATCACTTCAAGTGTTAGATTAAGTATTTGGTTTTTGTGTGAACAAAAAATGCGTTTTGGACATGTATACATCACATGTGACACTATAATTTTCAACTAAGATGCCAAATAATCTACATTCAGATGGATACAGAGAAGACAGTGAAAGTACATGTGAAAGGTTGGCATCGTACCACTAATCTGCAATTAACTCACCTGTCTTCTAAGGATTTATCATGCTGTGATTCAGACTCAGAGCGACTACGTCTTCGAATCGGACTAATAATTTTTGCAGGACTTGGTGGTGGCTGATCCAAGACTTTTAGATCATGGTCTGTTCCTCCTTCAATCTTGATAACAGCTATTGTGACAAAAAAACAACCCAGTCTCTTAAATAAAATGATGAATGATTTGTTGCTTTGTGTGTGGGTATGTATCATTTAAACTTCCTGATACAAAAAAATGCTATCAATCTAACAAATGTGCATAAGATTTTTTTGGTACATGACATTTCAAATCAAACTAGCTGAACTACAGTATGCTGCAGTGTTCTCCCCAGGACTCTGAAGCGTCACGACATCGTGACGCTTGGACACTCGCCCGCGATGCTTGCCCTTTGTCTGTGACGCTTGGACACTCGCCCGTGATGCTTATTGCTTTGTTTACACTCGGTCTCAACTTGCACAAATTTAAAACAATAACATGTATTGATTGAAAGGTAGTCCCTCCTTTGTTAGCCATTATAAAGATGGTGATAAAAACAGAAGTGTGTAAGAAGTTGCCAAGTCGTTTTTACAGGTGCGGCGCTTCTAAATCTAGAGGGACTGGTGACTAGAGATAGAGATGGTGGTGCAGAGTGCACGTTTTCTAAATCTAGAGGGACTGTGACTAGAGATAGAGATGGTGGTGCAGAGTGCACGTTTT